GTTTGCAGCCGAAGTGCAAGAAACCCAACCCTGGACCCAGAAACCTCGGCGGATGTCAGGGCTGGGTCTCTTGCGGTGGGCTTCTTGTGGATCGGCCCCCACTGTAGAGACCACGCCGAGACCGAACCGAGTGGGCGTCACCCATGCAGCGGCCCCGACCGAGTCTCGCAGTCCGCAGCGACCGCACGACGAGTGGCTCTCAACGACGCACGCGCGCGCACCACTGGCGCAGCAGGAGCTCCAGCTCGCCCGCCAAGCTGGCGGGCCTGCTCGTCGCGGATCTGTGCATGCCGACGAACGCGCACAGAGACATCGGGAGCGGCCAAGAGGGGGATGTCCAAGAGGGGGGGTGCAAATCATGACCGGCGGCACGTGCGCGGCCCAGCGGGGGGGCCTGGGACGTAATGAAATGAGAACAGGCGCCATGAAATCTAGGGAAAATCATGGCCCGCGCCATGAAATCCCCCCCCCCACCTGGACATCACCCCCCTCTTTTCCGCTCCCGAAGATGGGGGCTGACATCCGCCAGGCGCTGCCGGGGGCCCTCGGACCTCGTCCTGGCGATGCGCCAGGTGCGCAGCGCGCGACCCGTGGCCGGCAGCGGACCATCGCTCTCGAGGCCTCCTCTCGGCTCTTCTGCGGCGGCGGACCCCCGGAGTGCCTGGCCCTGCCTCTCTCGGCAAGGCTCCTGGCCGGAAGGGACGAGGGCGGCTCCTGGCAGAGCGTGGCTCTCGCCGGCATGGCAGGCCCTGCCTCTTGGCAACGCTCTTGGTCCTGCCTCTCGGAGTGTCCGGCCCTGCCTCGCTTGGCAGGGCTCGTGGCCGGAAGGGGCGAGGGCGGCTCCTGGCAGAGCGTGGCTCTCGCCGCAGTGGCAGGCCCGCGGGCCGCGTGGCGCACTCGTCTGCCAAGAAGGCCAAGCCCCCGTCGTGAGCAGGAGTGCCTTTGTTGGGACTGGCTGCGAGGGGACTCGAGGCGGGAGGACGTGCTGCAGCATCCTTGGTGCATCCTGGGCTCACTCTGCTCATCCTCCTCCTCCTCGCTCCTGATCCTACTAATAGTCCTCCTCCTCCTCATCATCATCATCGCCAGCAACAAAAACAACAACACAAGCAATCACAACAACAACAACAACAACAACAACAACAACAACAGCAGCAGCAGCAGCAGCAGCAGCAGCATCAGCATCAGCATCAGCAACAACAACACCAACAACAACAACATCATCATCAACATCATCACCACCACCACCATCATCAGAATCATCATGAGGGGGCACGCCCAGAATGGGGACGGGAAATTCGGGATGATGATAAACGGCGAACGTTGTCCCAAACCGACAGCGGCCGCTGTTGAACAGGCGACACTTCTCCCAAGTGGACAATGTCCACGGCCGCACGGACAGCCCTCTTCAAACTGGGAAGAAACTGCTGCCAATCTTAGTCCCCGTGTGCTCCGTCGACATGTCGATCCTCCCGAATGCTCTTCCTCCTGCCCCCCTGCTGCATCTCAGAGGGGGAACAGAACAACAAACTACATTGATATAACCTTTTGGCGCTCCGCGCGGACTTCTCGGACCTGCGCCAGACCACCCTCCCTGGCGCGAGGAGCGCGCCAGGGGCGGCGCCGGAGGCGCCGCCGGGGGGGGCCCAGCGCGGATCCAAGGAATCCGCGCGGATCGCCAGGAGTTTATTGAAGGGGCCCAAGGACACACAAAGAAATACACACACTAATAAAAGGATTCCCCACATTTTCGCAGATGCTTTGGGTTTTTCTCTTCCCCCCCACTTCCCATAGTTTCCCATCTTTTCTTGGGAATCGGCGATGACTTGTGTCTGTGTGTGTTTTTCCCTCCCCGATTTCTGCTTCTCTGTCGGTGTTGCTCCTCGAGGGAGAGGGGCGCTCGCAGGAGCACGCGGGTCTCTCGGCCCCGCCCGTGGGCAGGCCCGGCCCGCCGAGAGGCCGTCGCCCGGCCGAGGCCGCGGCCCTCGGCGCGCTCCCGGTGCCGCGGCTGCCTCACCACCGCGGGACGTAGGTGAAGCACGACGGCAGGTCGCGGAACCACTGCGGGGGCAGTTTCGGCCCAGACCTCCTGGCGTCGTGAAAAAATCACGACGGGAGGTTTTTCGCGATTTTCGGCCTCCGGGGGCCCTCCCCGGGCCTCGGGAGCGTCAAAAAACGACTCGGAATGAAGAACCGGTCCCGGGGAAGGGGTCCAGACCTCTGGGGGTCGACGTCGTGAAAAATTCACAACGTCGGGGGTCTGGGGGGTCGGGCGAAAGGGGGCGATAGCACAGAGGGGGGGGTGGGAATCAGCTCGCGTGGCTGGTTTTCCCGGCGCCTCCCGGCGCCGGAGACGGCTAAATGTATCGTGGGGCCGAAACCAGCTGCACGCAGCAAATTTCGTACCCCCCCCTTTCCCAATCCCCCCCTTTCGTCCGCCCCGAGAGTTGGCGCCAGGGGGGGGGGGCTGCACGAGAGACGAGGAGCGGGCATGAGGGAAAGGGGGAAAGAGAGAGAGGCGACATTTCCGCCAGCTGGGCTTCCCTGGTTGTGCCACGCTCTTGATGGCATGCGTGGTAATGACGCGCGTGCGTGCTGGCAAAGCAACGCGGCCCAGACAACCCCTGGGACAACCCCGCCAGGATCCGGACAACCCCTCCCCAGACAACCGCACTTGGACAAGCCCCTCCCCCCCCAATGTGGTCCATTGGATCTGGTAAATGGGGCAGGTCCCCCTCTCTCCGCAGAGCAGCGCACGCCGAACCCTGGCTTAGAGGCTCGTCGAAGACCTCCTCGTCCGAAGCCTGCAGGGCCGACGCGCACGCGGAAGGCTCTGAGGGGCTGGCGTCGGGGAGAGGGCATGGGCAGGGGCAAGGCGCGCCTGAGTCCGCCGGGGGTTGGGGGGGGGCCTGAAAGGCCGGCGCGCCTGAGTCCGCCGGGGGGGGGGGGCCTGAAAGGCCGGCGCGGGCGGGCTGGGGCACTCAGTCGCAGATGTGAAAGTTGTGGTCAGTGCTGTGTGTGGCGTAGGAACGCTTGTTCGAAACTGCTCCATGGAGTGCTGTCTTGTTCCATTGCTGTCGCCAGGGGGAGAGGAGGAGGAGGATGAGGATGATGATGAGGAGGAGGAGGAGGAGGAGGAGGCGAGGACGACGAGAGGAGGAGGAGGACGAACGAGGAGGAGGAGGAGAGGGAGAAGGAGGAGGAGGAGGAAGAGGGAGGAGGAGGAGAGGAGGAGGAGGAGGAGGAAGGAGGAAAAGGAGGAGGAGGAGGACTGACTGACTGACTCGCCCTCGGGGTGGCGGGTGACCGTAAACTACAAGAGACCTCTAAGGCGTAAGCACTCTGATATTCACTAATCCTAGAAGCTTCCCCGCAAGCTCCCAGAGCACAGCTTTGTCTCTAGAGCCTTGGGGGTCTAGTTTTGAAGTCCAGCCTTGGGGGTCTAGTTTTGAGGAGGAGGACGAGGAGGACGAGGACGAGGACGAGGGCGAGGACGAGGACGAGGAGGACGAGCACGAGGACGAGGAGGAGGAGGAGGAGGAGGAGGAGCAGGAGCAGCAGGAGGAGGAGGACGAGGAGGACGAGGAGGAGGACGAGGACGAGGACGACGACGAGGACGAGACGAGGAGGAGGAGGAGGAGGGGAGGAGGAGGAGGGAGGAAGAGGAGAGAGGAGGAGGGGAGGAGGAGAGGAGGAGAGGAGAGAGGAGGAGGAGGACGAGGACGAGGAGGACGAGGACGAGGAGGACGAGAGGGACGAGACGGACGAGCACGAGACGAGAGGAGGGAGGAGGAGGCGGAGGAGGAGTGAGGAGGAGGAGGACGAGGAGAGGACGAGGACGAGGACGAGGACGAGGACGAGGACGAGGACGAGGAGATGGAGGAGGAGCAGGAGGAGGAGGCGAGGAGGAGGAGGAGGGAGGAGGAGCAGGAGGAGGAGGACGAGGAGGAGGAGGAGAGGAGGAGGAGGAGGAGCAGGAGGAGGAGGGAGGAGGAGGAGGAGGGAGGAGGACGAGGACGAGGAGGAGGAGGAGGAACGAGGACGAGGAGGACGAGGACGAGGACGAGGACGAGGACGAGGACGAGGAGGAGGAGGAGGACGAGGCGGAGGAGGAGGAGAAGGAGGAGGCAAGGGCAGTGGAAAGAGAGGAATCTAGAGGCAGTGGAGCGGATGCAGTCACGAGCACCCGTGCCGAGCACGTCGCGCAGAGGGGCAATCGACAGCTGACAGCAAAAGAGGGGACGCAGTGCTGTCGCGAGAGCATGATGTGACGGATGGCCTCAAGAGGTGAGGTGGGATGAGAAGGGCACACGGTCGGCTCCAAGAACCCTGGATAGAAAAAGAACTAACGCCATGAACGTAAACTTTTGACGCTCCGCGCGGATTTCTTGGATCTGCGCTGATACCCCCTCCCCGGCGCGCAGAGCGCGCCAGGGGCGGCGCCGGAGGCACCGCTGGGGGGGGTCCCCGGCGCGGGTCCGAGAAATCCGCGCGGAGCGCCAAAAGTGTATGTTCATGACCTTTCTCCTTCTTCGAGTCGAGCTGTCACGAGAGCACCATTTGCTGGGAGGGCCTCGAGAGGTGCGGGGGGATGAGAAGGGCAGGTGGTCGGCCCCCGGAACCCTGGAACCCAAAAGCCCTTTTTTTGACTGGGGCCGCGCGGCATTCGCCTCTGCTCGGTCGATGTGCCGAGCTGGCTCGGCGAGCCTTGGAAGCTGGCGCTGGCCGCTGCTGGCCCTCTGGTCTCGAGCCCGTGCCCGAAGACGGCAAAATGACAACAACGATGGTCCCACCTACCATCCCCCATGCACCGTCTCCGAGACAGATTGCGCCGGGATGGATCGGCTGCAGGAACCCTGGAATTAGGTCGGGCATGTCCCCCTACAGGCCGACAAAACATTGCAAATTCCTTAAAAATTAGCAAAACATGCCAAACAAAGATTAGAAAGATCGTCCCCTGACTATTTCTTGCCTGCTTGTGAATCTTCCTCCTGTAGAGGGAAGTGCCCGACTTAAAGTCCTGGAGCCAGAAAGCCATGACGCACCCATTATATCGGGGATCTTCTGACCTGGGTCAATCCAGACCCGGGTCGGCAGGAACCAAAAAACTGCAATGCAAGGAAAGAAAGACTGCAACGCAGGTGCTCCCAAACCCGGGTCGGCCAATGTGCGCGGCCGCCTCGCGGCCGCGAGCGGCTCGCAGGACCTGGGTCAGCCACAGGGGGTCTTCGCAGATCCTGCAGGATCCGGTGCCCTGGCTGAGCCCCGTTTGCGTTGACCCCCGTCTCTTAGGCCCCGAAAAATGCGCAAAACATGCCGAACAAAGATTAGAAAGATCGTCCCCTGACTATTTTTTGCCTGCTTGTGAATCTTCCTCCTGTAAAGGGACGTGCCCGACTTAATCCTCCTGTAGAGGGCTGACCCCCGTTTGCGTTGACCCCCGTCTCTTCTAGGCCCCGATTGTACTGCCGCCGCCCTCCGCCCGTCTCTCCGCCGGCGGCGCGCCGCCCCCCACCGCGCCTCCCCGCTGGCTCACCGGCCTCTCCCGCCACACGCGCCCCGCCGAGGACGAGGAGGCAGTCTCCCCCTGAGATCCGGGCGACTCCATTCTTTCGAGCCGGGCGTCTTCGCCTTTTTTTTCGGGTCACGGGGCCCTCACTGATCGATGCGGCTCGAAAAATGACGCCGAAAGATGGGGTCCGGGGCTCCGGGCGCGGATTTTCACGGTGTTGTAATTTTTTCGCTACGTCGGATCTCAGGGTCTCGACGTCCCTCGAAGGCGAGGCCCCTATTCTGCGCCACGAATTATTTTTTTCTCGGACATTCGAATTCCGCTGCCCCTCAATAGGGCTTTCCCAATTGCGCGACCAAGACCACGATGGGAGCAACGCAGTGGCAATCCAAGCGGTCGCAGCTGACGCCGCGCAGTCGATCGGTCGGAGTCGTAGGCTGCGGGCAGCCCATGGACGTGCGCGGTAGCATGCAGATCGGCGCGTCTGCGTGCCCGCTGAAAAATGCTGAATCAAATATCACACGCGAGTTGCTTCGAAGCAAAGCAAAGACAGAGGAGGGCAAGGAAGGCAAGGGGGAAGGCGGAGAGGCAAGGAAAGGGGGAAGGAAGGCAGCGGAAGGAAGTGGCAACTCGTTCTAAGAGAACTCTACGGCTGTGGACTCGATCACTTGTTGTACACCAGCTGCTTCCACGTGTGCTCCTCCGCAACTTGCTCACAGAATCGCACATATGATCCAGTCAGCTGGATAGCCTGTGGCATGACTGTGCGTATCCACTCCTTGTTCGGTCGGCCACGCCGTCTCTCGTAGCGGTCGGTGGCCGGCACGCCGCGCAGTGCGTCCCAAAAAAGCCACCAGGACCTGAAGAAGAAAGACGAAGAGGAGGGGGAGGACAGGGAGAAAGAAGAGCCACACGCCTGTGCACAGGCGTCCTCCGACGGACTTTGCATGTGCCTCTCCCTGCGCGTAGAAAGCCGCTGGCTCCCAGCGGCGATGTGCAATGACACGGCCACCCTCCCCGGAGGCCCAGGGGCACTCCAGCGGAGGGCGTCCGTGCATCTGCTCCCGTGGCGGATCCTCGGAGGGCTCCGCAGAGGGAACCGCCCACTCCGCCGTCTCCCGCACACGCGCACACACACACACACACACACACACACACACACACACACACACACACACACACACACACACACACGCTGCCGACAGCCTCGGCTGCTGCAGGGCGCGGCGCGCCCCGCCATGCCGCGCGCCCGTGCTGACCGCGGGGCACCGCGCAGACCGACGGACACGCTGACCACCGTGCCGTGCCGTGCCGTGCCGTGGGTCACCAGCCTCTGCGTCCGGCGTGCATGTTCTGAACGCGGTTAGGGGGAGAGGTAGGGAGGAGGGAGGAGGAGAGGCGGATGAGTGGGGAGGAGGGAGGAGGGAGTAGGGGAGGAAGGAGGAGGAGAATGGGGGGAGGCGGAGGAGGAGGAGGAGGCGGCGGAGTGGGAGGAGATGAGGGAGGAGGAGGCAGAGGAGCGGAGAAGGAGGAGGCGTGTAGGAAGGAGAGGTCTGTGTGTGAGTGAGGAGGAGAGGAAGGAGGAGGAGGAGGAGAGAGGAGGAGGAGGAGGAGGAGGAGGAGGAGGAGCCTTCGCGCCCTCGCAGAACGGCCCAGGAGAAAGGCTCCTCTCCGACCCGGGCGCGCGACGCCAGAAGCGGCCTGCTCTTCGCGCCCCTCCGGGGCGACATGGGTCACGGATGCCATCGCGGCCCAAGCCGGAAAGGAGAAGACTCAGAGCAAAAACATCCAGGGCACTAAGAGCCAGGTCTTGAGGCCACCAAGATGGCGAAGCCGAGAGGCTCCCCAAGGGGCGTCTGCTGCGAGGGAAGTCCCAAAAGCTCGGCATCGGCTGTCGTGCAGAGACTCACCGTTCGGGCAACCAGCCCTGGGCGGCAACATTCACGAGGTCGTTCGCCCGCGCTCCCTTCATCGACCCGAGTGGCTGCGAGGGCCTGGAAATCGGAGCGGGGCAAGTTGAGACAGCGGCAGCGCAAGCTCGGCCCCTGGACGCACCCCAGGGCTCGAGCGCAGTCACCTTTCCCAGGGCGCGAGCTCGGCCCCTGGACGCCCCCCAGGGCTCGGCCCCTGGACGCCCCCCAGAGCTCGAGCGCAAGCTCGGCCCCTGGACGCCCCCCGCGCTCCCTGCATCGACCCGAGTGACTGAAGAGGGCCCGGAAATCGGAGCGGGGCAAGTGGAGACAGCGGCCGCGCAAGCTCGGCCCCCGGACGCCCCCCAGGGCTCGAGCGCAGTCACTCTTCCCCAGCTGCGGCCCAGCCGCGGCGACGAGGAGCCCCCCCGAAGGCCAGCTGCCGTTGCTTTAAAGAAGAAGAACAATAGTAGTAGTAGTAGTAATAATAGAAATAAGAAGAAGAATGATAATGATAATAGTGATGATAGTGATAATGCTAACAATAATAAGAATAAGAATAATAATACTAATAATGATAATAATAAGAATAATACGAATATCAATAACAATAATAATACTAATACTGATGGTACTAATGATAATGATGATCATAAAAAATAATAATGATAATAATAATAATGATGATAATAATAATACTAATAATAATAATAATAATACGAATGAGAAGCAGAAGAAGAAGAAGAAGAGGAGTAATACTAAGAAGAATAATAAGACGAATATTAATAATAATACTAAGAACAATAATAGCAATAAGAATAAAGACTACTAAACTCGTCCTTCTCTGAGAAAAAAAGCTCATCTCTCGGAGCTGGGCCAAGCTGCACCCTCGCGGCTCGAGCATCAGCGCAAGCCGACAGGATTCGCAGCGGCCGCGGCTTGTGCCACGCTCTGCCCGCGAGGAGGCCTCGCGCCCTCCGCCGACCCCTGCCGAGCCCGCAGGCCACTCAGCTGCGGAAGCTGCGCACAAAAACGCTCGGGTAACGGGATGGAGAGAGGGAAAGAGGGAGAGACAGCGGTACATCACATCGACTGTTGGATAAGGAAGTTGAGCGGTACTTGTGCCATGGGTCAACATGCTCATGAGAAGAGGTGAAACAACTGGATCCTGCCCCAGGGGGTAGAACTCGCGCCACGGCGGCTCCTTGAGGCTGTTTCCTGGCGGCGCTCGCATCAAGGCGATCTTCAGGTCTTTCTTGAAGTAGCCTGACACGGCGCAGCTTCAGCGGAGCCGCTCGTTCAGTGAAGGGGTGAACTCTCTGCTGCTGCAATGGCAAATAGAAGAAGAAACACATAACAAGTATAGGCAGAAGCATACGAATAATGACAATAATCCGCCGACCCCTTGGGGTCATCGGCGTGTGAGATGCTTCCCCCCTCCCCGAACCCCTCCCCCCGGAGCCTGGTCCGGTCGTTTTGGAGGGGGGGGGGGGGGGGTCCGGCCGGATTCCCCGGGATCCGCCGGCGCGGTCCGGGGGGGGTCATCCGCTCCAGAGAGTCTGCTGGGGGGGCCGCAAACGAGCGAAGAGGCACCCAAGAAGCTCTGCAGACGGTCCAAGAGGGCCCCGAGTCGCCGAAAAAACACTCGAAGACGGTCAAGATGGCCTCCAGATGGCCCCAGATGCCTCCAAGACGCCCCAAGAAGCTTCCAAGACGCCTCCCTAGATGGCCCCAAGAGGCCAAAATCGTCGATTTCCATTGGTTTTTTCAACGTTTTTGGCCTTCGCGTTTTTTCGGGCTTCCGACGCTCCAAGACGGCGAAAGAAGCCCCCAAGACGGCATCAAGACGACCCGAGAGGCTCCCATGTGG